CAGCTCCTGAAGGAAGCTCATTTCAGACGCCAAGGACCGGCATATTTCCTCGAGCCCACATGCATTCCCTGGTTAAATCGTCTCTGTTGCCCTTAAAAACATCACCTGCATCTGACCTTGGAAGCAATTTAGGATCACCTTTTAATACCTCCCTTTTGGGTCATAAGCCTGGACTGTTGGAGTTAAACTCTCCTTGGCACGGATCTGTCCAAAGTCCCCATATTATGAGAAGAGGACCAAAACTATGGACATCAAGTTCAGGTAGGAAATATTATTCTGTCAACTTTGATCTTGGTAGACCAGTAAGATAATTATTAAGGACCTTTTTTTTTTTAAAGAAATAACTTTTTTTAAAAAAATGGGATGGATTTTTCTTGCAGATCTGCAATTGACAGGCTATCCTGATGAACCTCGCCCAGTGATGGTGGTTGCAAAAGATGCTAAGGAAACAGCACAGCCAGGTTGTTTCTATATATGGTTGCAGAACAAGAAAGAGCAGGTATTGCCATGAATTGCCATTTGTCTGCACAGTATTTTTTTCTTTACTGGTAGTCCTCGGTGACCTTCTGCTGGCTTCCCCATTGACTTTGCTTGTCGAAAAACAGCAGTGAAGATCACAAATGTTGATAATGTGACCACTTATGCTGCAATGTTGTATTTTCAAGCCAATCACTGAGTGCCATGATTGTGGAGATGCTATTATTGCTGGAACTTCAAGGACTGTTCATAAGTACCATTGTTCAGTGTTGTTATAAGTTCAAACAGTTGCTGAATGAGTGGTTGTAGGCAGGTCTACCTATATAGTGCATTTCTTTCTTTTTTTTTTTAACATAAGGGTTAATTCCAATAATTTTAAGAATAGAGTATATTTATAGCTCAGGATCAAGCAGACTGGTGCCTCCAGATACCCAGATGCCTCTCTTACTGATCATAAAGCTCCTTGTTCTGACTGATAAGGATTTTAATTAAACGTGGCCATGTTGCAGAACACAACTGATAGCATCATATTTATATGCAGGTCCAGCTGGGATGGTAGAGAGAGTCCCAGGGAGCTAGTTTATGTTTTGATAAAAATATATTATTTAATTGACAGCGTCCCTCAGGCCACCAATTTTGAGAATAGGCAATGATTTTATATACTAAGGGTGAAGGTTCATTCTCTGAGCCTGTGGGTTGGTTTCTGAACGTTTCATTGTGAGGCTAGGTAACATCTTCAGTGGGGTTTAGGGTAGGGGTCCCTAACCTCGGTCCGTGGACCGGTACTGGTCCGCGGCATGCCAGAAACCGGGCCACACGAATAAGTGAAGCCCCATCTGGGGATGCAGGCAGCACATGAAACACCCGTCCCCCGGTCCGCACAAAAACCTCTCTCCATGGAACTGGTCCCTGGTGCCCAAAAGGTTGGGGGCCTCTGGTTTAAGGGATGTCAGTGTCAGTGTCCTTCTGTTTATAAGGCCTTTGTGTGGTCAATAATTCTTGTGATAGGTCAGGTGTGGGTGTGTCAAGTGAGGGTCTTGTAATGGGCCTCGTAATGGGTCAGGTGTGAGTCACCAGTGTGAGTCTTGTGATGGGTCTTGTGATGGAGAGGTTACATCAGGTGAGGGTCATTGGGAGGTGAAGTGCTGGTTTGGGGGAGCTTCCGTGGGTTGGTTGAGGGCAGTGCTGTCTCTGGTTGGCTATGTGGTTGATTTGGATTCTGAGGGATTCGTAGGCTGGTTGTAGGTCAATGTGTCTGTTGATGGAATTGCTTGTGGAGTGCCAGGCTTTGATGAATTCACGAGATGGCAGCGTGGCCAATGATTTTGGTATTGCTCCAATCGAACTGGTACTATTTGGTGTCAGTGTGGGTAGAGATTAAGGATTTGGGATTGTGGCGTTTGTGGATCCTGGTTTTTAATTGACTTTTTAAATATAATTTTATATGCTCCTATAATTCCAGTTGTGCTTCCTGTTGTCCACTCCAGTACAGATAGTCCTTAACTTATGACCACAACTGAGCCCAAAATTCCTGTTGCTATGTGAGACATTTGTTAAGTGAGTTTTTTGCTCCATTTTACGACCTTTCTTGCTACAGTTGTTAAGTGAATAACTTCAGTTAAGTTACTAACATGGTTTGGTTTTTCCATTGACTTTGCTTGTCAGAAGGTTATAAAAGGTGATTAGATGACCCCGGGACACTGCAACCGTCATAAATATGAACCAGTTGCCAAGCATCTGAATTTTGATCACATGACCCTGGGGATGCTGCAGTGCTCCAAAGTGTGAAAAAAGGTCATAAGTCACTTTTTTCAGTGCTGTTCTAACTTTGAATGGTCACTAAATGAACTGTTGTAAATCAAGGATTACCTGTACAGCAGAAAAGCTTTGGTTGAATCTTACAACTGGAATTATATATTATTCTGAACTACTTCATCTGTTCTTTAACGCTTCATAGATTTCTTTTTCTTCCAGATCAAAAATTTCCTGTCAAAACGAGTCCTGATAATGTATTTTTTCAACAAGGTAAGACCTGTGTGTGTAACTCAGTGATGGGCCTTGTTTGGATGGCAAGTATTCTTACTAATGCTTTTCTTTAATCCTTAAACTAGAATTTTGTACAGTGATTTTTGAAATGGTACTTTAAATTTTAACAATTGTTTTAACTTATCAGTACTTGGTTTGCAAAGAAATGAGAAATAATCAGTTGAATATTGAAACTATTAATTAATACATTAAGTAGAACTCTTGATGATTAAATTTGTATTAGTAATAGTAATACAACTAATTTTGTTGATTAATTTGCAAAACATTTTACTCTTCAGCACCCTGAAGCATCAATCCAAGCATTGTTTTCAGATACCCAAATGCATATTTGGGCTTTGGAAGGTAAATAATCTCTTCATTTTTAAAAAAAGCTTTTTTTCATTGTATTATATTTCAAAGGAAGATTACAAAAAATAAACAATACAAAAAGAAAAAGTGAAACAAAACACTATACTAAAAGCTTAATGAACCAGCAAAACCCCCATGCCCCTAAACAAGAATTAAAAAATAAATTAAAAAAAATCAGAAAATGATAGGAACAATTTCTTTATATCTGAACTATCTCCCAAAGAAGTAATACATTGCCATATATCTGTTACTTGTTCTGTTTTTTAACATAATTATCACAGATTCATCATTGGGTGGCTTTTTAAGATATGTGTGTACATATCTTTCTGGGCTGGTGGCACGGAGCGGGGGAGGGAGGAGGGAAAGGGGATGATTTTGTAGGAGGGGCAGGTGCATATGTGCGTGTGCGTGCGTGTGAGTGCATGCAATGTTTGCAGCGACACGAGTTGGGCCACAAGCACCCACAATGAGGCTCGCGCAAGTGGGACTCCAAGTGTCTGCAAAGAGGCTCACACGAGTGGGGCCACAAACACCCATAAGGCTCATGCAAGTGGGATTGCGACCACGCTCGACACGTGCGGGAGTGGGGCCACGACCACTCTTGATGCTCACACAAGTGGGGCCGCAAGCGCCCGCAATGAGACTGGGAACGCAAGCACCCACAACAACGCTCATGACAGGAGCAAACGCTCACAAGTAGGGCCACAAACACCTCTGACAAGTGCTCACTGGCCAGCCACTCACATGGCCCGTTGGCGATTAGGCTATGACCCAGTAGAGCCACAGCCCACAGGTTGGGGACCCCTGCCCTACAGGACTGAGAGGCCTAACCCTATCATTGGGATTTTTATTGAGAAGTTGCAATACTTCTTTCTGTTACCTGTTTCACAGGTCAGCTTTTGGTAGGCTAGGTTAGACCTTTATGGAGACAGGCAGTAGCACAGTCTATAGGGTTTTGCTTTTCTTCAGATCCTCTATCTATTCTAGCCAATAGCTCATCTGCCTAGTCTTTGGGACTTTACTTATCCAGAGGTTTGTGAAAATTGTGTTTAGATTTTGGAGACATTACAATCTAACCAGGCAGAGAATCCTCCATTGTCAATGAAGAATGGCTGCCACAGTTTTCATAAAAGCCTTGAACAAGAGACCGAGAAAATCTCTCCGTTAGAAACCTTGATATAAATTGAATCCTGAAGGTTAAAGAGATTTTCAGTTGTTAAGATTTTTGTAACTTTATTTGGAATACATTCAGTAAATCTTAGTAAAGAAGCATTGAAAAATCTTGCTTTCTTTAGAGGTGGAGTGGCCAAGAACTTGGAAATTCTTTCTGCTTTTTATGATCTGATACCTGCTGCTTGCTTGCCATAGGCAGCTGTGTCTGCTTGATTTTGCTATGGGTACTGTGGCTCAAAGATCCCCAACCTTTTGGGCACCAGGGACCAGTTCTGTGGAGAATGGTTTTTCCATGGACTGGAGAGTGCGTGGTTTTGTGTGCTGCCTGCATCTTGCAGATGGGGCTTTGCTTGTTTGTTTGGACCGGTTGCTGGCATGCCGTGGCCTGGTACCGGTCCACGGACCGGTGGTTGTGGACCCCTGCTGTAGCTGATTACATAGGTAGCTGCTGGCCTTTTCCACCTGTTGAGATGCTCCTGCAGATCCCAAGTACCTTTCTTCCTCACCACCTATCTTGGTTTCTGGCCACCTTTTATGGCTAGATGTGATTTGGGTCTTTTTTTAAAGAGTATTAAGGTGGAGCATTCAACTGGAAGATTCCATGCTGATAGCCAAGTCAGACTATGCTTGATGGCAGTCCGAGTAATCTTAAGAAGGAAAGTAGCTCATAGCAGTGGCCTGTTCCTCTATGTATGAGTCAGAAGAAGAATCTTTACTTATCAGTTTCAAGAATAGGGAGGAGGGTTGTTGTTGTATTTTTCTAATTGGGGTTTGGCAGAGTTAGGCTTCAAATTCTTCCACAGGTTGAGGAGAATACTTTTAGCTTTTGGGGAGTAGTAAAGGCCATCGAGCTGCCTTATCTCTGTTCTTTGGAGTTTTGAGGAGAGGACTGATATTTTTTCCTTGTACATAGGAGCGACAACATCAGTATTGTACTCTGCTGTGCATATTCTGAGCATTTTGATTTGTTACACTACCTGTTTATTCTTAGCATAGACTTCAACGCCCAGAATTCTCACAATGATCACATTGATTGGGAAATTCAGAGAGTTGAGATTTATGAATCTGGAATCTTCAAGTTAAGAGGAGGCTGATTTTACATTGTTGTAAGGCAGAGGCCCCCAACCTTTTAGGCACCAGGGACCGGTTCTGTGGGGAAAGGTTTTTTCACGGACTGGAGGGGGCGTAGTTTTGTGTGCTGCCTGCATCCCATGGATGGGGCTTCACTTGTTTCTGTCATGCCACGTACCGGGACCGGTCCACGTACCGGGGGTTGGGGACCTCTGTTGTAAGGGAAGAATGTTGAAAATGAAAAGCTTTTGTAAATTGAGAGTACCAGGAGAAAACATTGTAATCTTAAATTTCATGACAATTAACAGGTTGGAATTAAAAATTACTCTTTTCTGAAGGTTTATCGCATCTTGTAGCAGCCTCATTTACTGAAGATAGATATGGTGTTGTTCAGACGACACTGCCAGCAATTCTGAATTCCTTGCTAACTCTTCAAGAGGTAAGGAGCTTTAATTTTTTTCACAAAAGAGAACTATGAAGCCATAACATATTACTAGAAAAAAATGATTTAATTTGCTGTTTCTTTGAAGTCTATCAAATGTTTTTTCTATAGTTAAAGAGGGTGTATTGATTAGGCTAAAATCCAGAAGATGTTTTTAAGAGTAAGCTGGTCTATGACTATAGCACTCCTTCTGCAGCACCTTAAACCAGCTATATCTTTTTGAGATCACATGGCTACAGCGATTGTATGTTCCCTGGAGGATTTGTATTTGATTTAAGGAGCTGCAGACAAGTGCTCTCTTCATATTTTCTGAAACAATTTGTTTGCCTTTGAATGCCAAGCATGTGTGATCCATTCTCCTGTTTAAGAATTTTATCCTCTTGAAGTCTTGAGTTAATAGTTTAAACAGTATTGTTCAGAACAGTATTTTGATTGATAAAATGTAATTTTATTGCTCATGGGGCTTAGCCTCCAAAGTTGATACTATATTTTCATCATTAGGGCTTACCATAGTCAGTTTGCATTGGAGAAGACATGGAAAAAACTTGGAAAACCACAAAAAAATATCTAAATTATTAAAGTTGTATTAGCTTAGTCATTTTTCCGGGCATGATTTTCCCCATGATTGCATGTTGCAATAAGGGATCATATGGTTCATTAAATTTTGGCTTAGTACGGTAGATGTGTAGTCCTTGAAATTTATAAATCATGACTGATTGGTAATTATTATGGCTTAGCATGGACAGTGTGGTTGATTGACTGGCTTATTGAGTAAACTATAGTTAAAGCATGGCTTAACACATTTAAGAGTCATTTTCCCACAAGGGAAATATTATTTTTTAGAATTTAGAATTGAATTATATTGAATAGTTTTCAGAATCTTGATCTTTCTGATTTCTGAATTGTTTTAGTACTTTTGATGAGCATTTAGTATTTACTAAATGACCCTTGATGTGTTGGGTCATCCTTTCAGCGATATTTCTTTATCCAAACTGTGGGCAAAAAACATTGGGAGCGGGAGTGACTTCTGACTTCCTGCTGACTTCTCCATTGACTTTGCTTGTGGAAAGCTGGCAGAGAGAATCACAAATAACAATTATGTGGCTGTCTGTGGTGGCCCTGCAGTAGCCAAAAGTTTACAAATACAACTGATCTGAAGATCTTTGAAATTCAGTTCCATAGGAATAATGACTCCCTGATTTTTTATACATTCTTAGCGCATTTGAAGTAGGTGGATTAAAAAATCATTGTCCTATGGTACACTAGTTTGGCTAATTGAAGTTTACAAACAGACAATAGCTTTAGTAATATATACTGTAGATTTCTACATAAGGCTATAAATTTTGTTGTCAGCATGTTTCTTCATTGGGTTTTTTTTTTCATTCTAGGTTATAGACAAACACTTCAAACTTCCTCATGTGTCCAGCAAACCTCCAAAAAGTCCAGGAAATCTTGCAGACACTTCCTACAAGACCCTTCGATTTGCTTTGAGATCATCATTAAAAACTGCAATCTATCGGATAACCACCACCTTTGGAGAACATTTAAAGTGAGTTTGAAGGATCTAAAACTGTATTAGTGTTCATTTCCTAATGTCCTAAAATATAGGTGAATGAAAACCACGATGGTTTGTTATGGGGAAAGATGGGAGGAAGCAACACTCCTGAAGAAAAGATAAGCTTTAATCATTACATTGAAATGTCTATGGAGATTTTCAATCATCCAGGTCATGGTTGTTTTTCCAAAGAGCTTTTTCCAAAAGGCAACTGGCCTTCCTTGGGTTTTTCTTTGAAAACATTTCACTTCTCATCCCAAAAGCTTCTTCAGTTCTAACTGGTTTGGCAGTAGAAGGATTTATATTATTCTGAATATAACCAGATGACTGCAAAGAATATAAAAAGAAAAAACCAAGGAAGGCCAGTTGCCTTTTGGAAAAAGCACCCTCAGAACATCACAATGAAATATAACGCATTGTTGTATCAATTATATAAGTATTAAAAGAACAGCAGCAACAACAAAGCCTATCTAAAAAAAAAAGTGGGTAAAAACCAATCTATACTTTCTCTGACCTTGTATTGAAAACAGTTTGGAGTGAGCTTAAGTACATTCAGCTTAACATGCTTGAGATCCTTATGTTCAATGTGGGAAGATTGGAGTAGAGACAGAAGGTAGGTACTCTGGAGGCTGCCCTCTGGAGGCTGGTACTTTCAGACATGTGCCTTTACAAACGTCTGAATAGGGCAGTGATGGCGAACCT